ACTTGATTTTGGTTTTCTTGTAAGGTTTTTCTATGACCTAATATTTAAACAAAAATTGAAATGGAATCATTGTTGGGTTAAAAAAAGGAATATTAATCACTAATTTATCATTGTGCTGCTCATAGAAAATTAATTAAAAGTATTAAACCACTCAAATATGTCCACGAATTTCTTTCAAAAAAATTGTTCAAAATTAAAAGGTTTAAAAATTGTGGTATTTAAATAATATATCTAATTAAAAAGCATATAGTTAGAATTTTTCGATAAATGAAATGATGTAATCCCAATTAGGGACAACAAATTAATTGCATAAATTAAAATATTTATGAAAGTTGATTACCAAAATTTAAAGGTGATAGAAATGAAGGAGGCATAAATTCAGACAGTTCAGCAGACTTCCTTCCTTATGTCATCCCAATTCCCAATTTCAAAGTGATCCTTTTGTGTTCCTTTTCTTGGACGAAAAAATGTTCATTGAGTTTAAAAGAATGGGAAGGTTGAAAGTAAACTTTTATATGAAAAAAGGGCAAAATTACTAATTAAATTTAACACAAGCAATAAAGGTTCTCATCATTTAAATAAGTGATTGAGAGTTTGAACATCAACTCTTTTATATGTAGCAATTTAGTTGTAAAAATATCTATCTTTATTTTTATTATCTTGAGAGCGAAAATATCTACTATAGGTAAAACCTACTACTTAAAAAAAATAGTAGAGACTAGGAACCTTGAATTTGAAGGCGGAGTGACGTCTATCCACATCATCCCCTTGATAGCCCTAATGTTGGTTATGCTATTTTTCTATCTGTTTGGTAGGACGAAAAATTAGTTTTTAGGCTAAAATCATATTTTGAAAGAAAATTATCCAAACAACACAAAATTTGTATAATCAATTAATGGACCAAAATTAAATTTAAAAATAGGCTTGAAGAGGTAGCTTCTAAATTTAATTTTACCATTACCAATGTAAACTATTTGTCAGACAGCCTCTCACCTGCCAATATTACCCTCATTAGTGTTATTTTACATATTCAGACTTTATGCATCATGAAAGGGAAGATCAAATAGAACATGATGATAAAAAAGATTATCATGTTCATGAATGCTCATCCTTCTTATTGTCCATAACATTTTTATCAGATATGACTCATATATGTGATATGATTTGAGATCAACTTATATATTTTTATCTTCATTAGTTATTATAAAATTGATGTTTAATATTTAAGAATTATTTCCTTTTCTTTTATTAAATTTATTTGAACTTAGATTTATTGAGTCATTTATTTATATAAATTAAAATGTTAATACTAATATAATTTAAATTTCTATAATTAATCATATGTATAAGTTAAATAATATATTTTACTTCTTAAATAAAGTTTAACAAATTTACTAATATTAGACATAACTTTATCAATAATTTAATTTTGAAAAGCAATGTCTTTTATGGTAATTTATACAGTTAAAATTAATTCTAACTAAATTATCTAAATATATTCAATTTTATTAAAATCAATTTTAAAAAAATAGTATCCAAACAAATTGTATTATAACACAATCAATTATAACTAAAATTAATAATTATTTTTATAATCAATTATATTTCACTGAAATTCAAACGAGCTTAAGTGTGTAACCCACTGCTTTTGCTTGTCTTGTTGCCAAAACTTCATCTTTTGATGATATGGTGACCAATCAATTGTGAATCAACAAAAAATTAATTGTTAATGAATGTGTACTTTTATAAACTTATTTATTGTCACTTATAAATTTAAGGATAGTTTCTTGCAAATTTTAAAAATATCACTGATAAATTGATGAAAATTCATAAATGAATTAATAAATGGTCTTATAAATTTATATATCACTTGTGATTGGTGATTATCAATTGTAAATTTAATGAATGTCATACATAAATATATGGAATGTCAATTATGAATGGATGTGAATATTCCTAGCTGTAAATCAATGATTTAGGAACCCTATTGTGTTTTTAATATCTAGTCACAACTAGCTTTCAATAAATTTACATGTAATTTTTCAAAAATCCACAAGTAGATGTTTTTAAATTTATAAATAATGATGTATATATTCATGAATCTGTCTATTTATTCACAATTAATTTTTATATATCATAAGTGAGCTTTCTCAAATTCATAACAAATTTACTTAAATTTAGGTGTGATTTTCTAATAATTATTTCAATAATTAGAAGTATATTTAATTGAAAATAAAGATTATGCCGATGTTTCAATATTTTAAAGTTTTTAATCATCATAAATATCTTTACAAGGTCCACAATTGTCATTTCCTCTTGGTTTTTTCCCATTTGTTTTTTTTAAGAATGTAAAGAAAAACAAAAACCCTTTTTTTTTGTCCTAAAAAAATAAGTAATTGGCTTTAGCATTACCCTCGATGACTTTGATCTTTGGCATTCACTCTTAAAGATTGACTTATTTGATGATTCATATTATGATGGTTCAACTTTATATGATTTATGATTTTTCTATTCCATTTTATTTTTATCTTCAAGTTCATACACACGCATAAATATATTTAGAAAAATATAAAACATAGAATAATACTTCGGATTAATGAAGAAATCTTCTCCTAGAATAATGATGAACACAATCTCAGTGCCTTCTTTTTCCTTAAAAAAAAAGAGTTGCGAAGAATATTTTAATAAAAAATAAACTTGGAAAAAAGAGTGTACCATTGTGAATATTTTAATTTCAATAAGCTTATACCTCTGAATCAACATTATCAATTTATTATCATTGTATTCAAATATATATATATATATATGTATGTATGTATGTATGTATGTATATTTATCTTTGTCTTTGCTGGTCTCAGTGGTATCTAAATATAAAACACACGCCTCTGGCATCCCTAGACAAATACTCACCCATCTACTCTCACTACTTAGTATTACGTTCTCTCAATCCTTACTGTGGAGTCAAAGAGTAGAGAACTATCTTTTGGAGTTTCTAGGTCTTTGAGATCATCAATCAAAAATGTTGAGCCCACAACTTGCCATAAAAAATTTTGTTGTGTTTTTTTTTTTGCGATAAACTTTTCTTGTGTCTTTTATTCAATCAATGTAGTTAGGAAACTTTAAGATTGACGTGTTTCTTATTTTTTGTTTTGGACTCGGTGGGGATGGAAGAATTTGAATCTTCGAAGGACCAATGATGATTAAAGAGGAAATGAAGCGGGTAAGCGCTAGATTGTTGAGAGCAGAAACAAAGATTGTGAGATCAGAGTTTTATATCACGCAAGGCAAGTGGGATGAAAGCAATGTCTCTGATACAGAGGCAATCTTAGTGATTCATAAGGAGATGCATTGGTTGAAGAAGGGCCCGTTACCGATTATTCGAGAGGCTAGAGCATTTCTCTTAATGAGAAATAGTGTGCAGTGGCTGGGATGAAGCGAGAAATACTCACGTATGCCTAATGGATTGCTATTTGCTCCACTCGTTGAAACCCCAAGGAATGGGAATCAATTTTAGAGCCCTTGCACCTCGACCCACTCGCCACTAAGGCTCATCTAAGCCGTTAGCAAGATCCTCTTACCGGTTGAGGTGAGTGGATTTCATGGTTCAAATGTTTTGAGGATTTTTGGTGGTTTCTTTCATCTACAATTTTTGAACTGAAAATTATTTCCTTCTCCCCTCTTGTTCACTAAACGTTGGTCCAATTTAGTAGGTTTTCAAGAGAAAGAAATGCTCTATTTTTATCATCTTTGATTTAGCCTTGGGTTTTAATGGAGGGGGCTCTTGTTCGTGGTTATGCCAAATGGAGGTTTTTGCATTTTGTTTCACCAGCATCTACTCAAAAAATTAATTTAGGTAATTTTTCATAATTTGACCACAATAGGCCTAAAGAAGGCCTAAACATTAGTTGGTCCATATGGATCCTACAAATAAGTGGTTGGGTAGGTCATTTGCATCTTTCTATACTTACTATGTATGTTAAATATCTAATAATAGAGTCGTTAATTAGAATCGAGCTCGTAAAGTCAGCCCTTTTAAGCTTGAAAAAATTGAGGGTCGGGCCACTACTTTGATCTTTAAAAAGATAAATTAAGTTTAAAAGGACTGATTCTTTTAAGCCTGAAAATAAAAAGGTCAGGGTAAGCCCTTTTAAGCCATAATTTTTTTAAAAAAAATAACATAAAAAATAAATAAAAAAAGACACCACATCACTCAAGCTCAGCACTCACTCTCTAATCCAGACAGTAGACACACATTATTATTTTCTTACTTTGAAGTTTTTGCATTTTTTAAATACCTTAAAATTATGATTTTGGTTATTATTTATTGCAAATAATGAGAATGAAGAACGAAGATATGAAAAGTTTACCATGTTTGCCATAGATGAGGATCCACAAAGAGAAGGATCAAATTATATTGATGTTGATAATGATAAAAATTATCAAAATTTAATTGATAATGCTACCAACGTGTATTTAATGTTGAAGTTAATTTTGGAATGTTATTTTTTTGTTAGACTTGAAATTTCTGTTATGTGAATTGATTTTATTTTATTTTCTTAGACTTAATGTGATGTGTAATAATTTTGTTAAAATTTTAAATATTTTTAAAAATTTTGAATTGAAAAATTAAAAAAAATTAGAGCTACAGCCAAGTTGTTAAAAATAGAGCCTTGAGATATAATCGGACTTAAAAGAGTCAGTCTGTTTAAGTCCTGACCCTTGAAGGGCCAGCTTTTTAAGGTCGAGCTAATCTTAATTGACACCTCTATCTAATAGTCTCTAGAGCATCTGCTAATTTACTATACTTAATTAAAATTTAAATGAGCACATAAATATCTTATAATTTGAGTTTAAAGGAACATCTATTTACAATTACAATTTTCGTGCAACGACGATAACACCCCCCTGATTACATGACCCGTCGCGAGAGGATTGGCTGAGAAAGGCTGCCATCAGCATTCATTTGGCTCGCAAGATATACGGATAAATGGTGAAATATCTACTTACATGGTCTTCCCCTGCCAGAGCTTCCTCATCTCTCTTCCTCCCACCTCCTTCTGTCAATGAGAAGCCGAACTGTGTCTGTCTCACCCTCCTGAAGCTTCTCTTCCATGGCGAAGACATTAATTTCCTCTCCTTCGTTCCTTGGCACGCCTCTTCCTTCTATACCTCGCCCTGGTCTACAACCCTTCCATCTCCCTCATCGTAGGCTGGTCAGCACCAGAGTTAAATTCAACTTCCACGAAATCCCCCCGATCCACTCCCTCAACGATTCCTTTCACTTCAGTCAAATTGTTACTAGAGCTGAAGCGCTTCTTTATACGATCGCTGACGCTGCGGTTTCCGCCGATTCAGGTGCTGGTGCAGCGGCGTCGACCACCACAGATGTTGCCGTGCAGAAGAATGCAGGGTGGTTCAGTTTTATTTCTGAAGCCATGGAGTTTGTTCTCAAGGTAATCGTTTTAGATTATGCTATACTCAAAGTATGCAGCAACATACATTCCAGATGAAGGTGCGTAACTTTTAGGAAATAGGAATTATAAGTATATTTATATATTGGGCTAACTATTGGATTTTCGTTCTAACCAGACCACTAATTGACCCAGATACGTGACTGCATTAAATGTTGAGTGGTAAAAAATAATGAAATTTGTTATCCAGGTTATGCAAACAACGTCTGACTGAAAGCGAGTCTATTATAAAATTATGCCGGGAGGTCATCGATTTTGAAAGAAGCGAAGCGTTAAAATTTGTGATGGGTTTACTTGTATTTAAATTATGAAAACTTATTAAGAGGGGTTGGGTTTAGAAGAAGGGTTTGTCCCTCATAATGAGGTGAACTGACGTTCGAATCCTCACTGTGAGAGGTGCTTAAGATTTAGTACTGACCGTGTTTCGAATATAATTGCCTCTTATTTGAGGATACTTATGAATAATCAAAAAAGAAATTACGAAAACTTGGAAATTATTGAGTTGCTACCAGTCAGAGAAATCATAATTTGGCCGATTTGACACATGATGTACACCAAAAACTTGGTCAATGTAATTATAGCATGCACGTTATATGCAAGCCAATGAAATGAAATGTATTTTTTCCCAGTATAATTGTGTCTTAAGTGTGAAATCATAAACGTTGCTTTTTTCTCCAGGTGTTAAAAGATGGCCTGAGTGCTGTGCATGTGCCTTACGCATATGGATTTGCTATAATATTGCTCACTTTTATTGTTAAAGTTGCTACACTTCCCTTGACAAAGCAACAGGTTAGTGCAAATTCAGCAGCTTCAAAGAGCTGGTTTTAAGGTGCAAATTTTTTATTCACTCCAAATCGTTAGATACTATATTTTCCCTCGCAAAAGTAACTGGATTTCCCCCCCCCATCCCAAAAAAAAGCCTGAGATACTTCTTATCCAAACCATTATTGAATGAAGCACAAATGCTGTAGAACTGAAATTACATGGCAATTATATGGTTTGCTTGACAAAATTATGTTTAAGTGCTGACTGTAGTAAAATGTTTAGGTTGAATCAACACTTGCTATGCAAAATCTTCAGCCAAAAATTAAGGCCATCCAAGAAAGATACGCTGGCAATCAGGTGAGTTATGTTGGTGGTTGTGTGGTCTGTATAAGTCATCCATTTTAAACTGTAGTAAATATTATTTTATTTATTATAGCATGAAACTGTAGCATGGTTCTCTCTAAACAAGTCATTGGGTTGTATTTTAAGGAAAGAATACAACTTGAGACATCAAGGTTATACAAGCAAGCAGGTGTCAATCCATTGGCTGGTACGTTGTATCTCGCCCCTGCTTTTTTCTTGCTCTTCTTCCAGCTTCTGTTCTCTTCTTATTCTTCTTCTTGCTACTTGTTTCAATAAAAAATGTGTCATATGAGGTTGGTCACTCATGGAATCAGATTGGTGGCAGATATTTGTTAAGAACATATAAGATGGTCTGCAAGTAGTAATTGTTATACCAACCCCCTCTTTTTTTTCTTCTCCCATACTGCCCTCCTGGGGGTCTTTCTCTAACATTACTTCTGTATTTCACTTAGGACTGGTGTATTTTCTGCAGTTATATGTTCTTTATATGTACTTCCTTAGTTATCTTGTGCTTGTTTGTATGTATAGGTTGTTTACCGACTTTGGCTACCATTCCTGTGTGGATAGGTCTCTACCAAGCTTTATCAAATGTGGCCAATGAAGTAAAACCTTTATAAATTAAGTGGAGATTTTTATAGATAAATTTTCATCAGTTATAAGATCTGATTGTTTCTGATTCTGGAAAACCTTCTACTTGAAGGGTCTTTTGACAGAAGGCTTTTTCTGGATCCCCTCTTTGGGTGGTCCTACTACCATTGCCGCTAGACAAAGTGGATCTGGAATTTCTTGGCTTTTCCCATTTGTGGTAAGAGGAATACCTTTCCCCTTCATTGGTGAAACAGTGATTTATCTTTTGTACTTTTTGCTTGCATAGCTCTCGTTATGATTTTTGTTCAAGTTGGAAAAAAAGTTGTGCTTTCTCACATTAGACCATTTACTCTCCATTACATCAAAATTTATTTATTTTAATGTGGCATGTAAAATCACATAACTTTGAATTGGATATGGCATCCTGCATGTTTGGTGATAGGCATTTTTATTGGTAGTTTACAAAGAGTTTTGCTTATAATTGGTCTCTTCTGCGGCTTCTGCTGAATATTATCTATTTTGCCTTGCCAATTTATCTTTGTGCAGCCACTCTCCTTAAGGTTTACCGAACATTTAATGTAGTTATTTTATCAAGCCATTCCCTTGGGAAGTTTTATACTTCTATTCATCTTTTCCCTCTTCTTGGACATGAAAACAATTCTGATTAAATATTATGTTATAGCCAGTAATTTTGCTTGCTGTGATGATTAAGACTTTAACTAGTTGCTTAGTGATTTGTAGAAGCTAATAAAATTCTGTGGCAGAGGGTTGTAAAGTGAGGTACAATGTGTGGTAAAAATTTGACCACTTTTGAGTGAAATGTCATTTTTTTTATTTTAGTACTTCCTTCCTTCCTTCCTTCCTTCCTTTTTTCTTTTTAACTAATTGACTCTTTTTCTGCATCTTTTTTTCTTTTCAATAGAGGGAAGTTTTCATTACTTTTCTTTCTTGCTTTTTTTTTGGGGGGGTGGGGTTTGGATTTTAGTGTTTATTCAGTTTTGTCCCCCTTTAACATCCCGCAGTGACCTATATTGAAAAAATGAACTGGCTTGCTTAAATTGTTTGTTGCCACATACCCTTACCTGTTCTATATGAACAGTGGCTTTTATGAGATTGATCGCAGGTCTGTATTTCATTTGTTCACTTGTTCCAGTCATCTATTGAGTGGGAATAAGTGCCCTATTTTCTTTCTATAGCTTGTGCTGATTTTATATTGTCTTGACAAACAAACTGGCATGCAGGATGGTCATCCACCGTTGGGCTGGCAAGACACTGCAGCATATCTTGTTTTACCCATCCTCCTTGTTGTTTCTCAATATGTTTCTATGGAAATCATGAAACCCCCCCAGGTAAGCTATGGCTTTTCCTTCTGTTCAGACCCTCTTACATGAGAGTCCTGAGTCCTCAATGACTTATTTTAACAGACTGATGATCCGGCTCAGAAAAATACACTTCTCGTTTTCAAGTTTCTTCCACTCATGATTGGTTACTTCGCGCTGTCTGTTCCTTCAGGGCTATCAATTTACTGGTTAGTGATTCAGAATTATGTTTTCAGTATTAACCATTTTATGTTGATTTTATGGCCTCAAATACCTGCATTTTCTTGCCCTTTCTGGGTAGCAGTCTTTTAACTATGGATCTCTTGTACCATTTTCTCCATTTCTACCTGCTTTCAAACACTTTTTATTTTATTCCTTAACATGCCTGTTCAATGCATTAAGAAATGTGCATGATAATTTCGGTTCTTGTCTTGGACAAAGGATAACATGTTTCTCAAGCAAACAATGTCATGTTATCATAATATCATCTATCTTGATAGATTATAGTTTAATGCTCCCCTCTGTTTCTTCATCCAAAAGAAAGAATAAACAGCACCCCAACCCAAATTATCTTATTTTGTCGTACTAGGTTTACAAACAATGTTTTAAGCACAGCACAACAAGTATGGCTGCGCAAATTAGGAGGTGCAAAGCCTGTTGTTAATGAAAATGCAAGTGGAATTATTACTGCAGGACGTGCTAAGCGATCAGTTTCTCAGCCAGAAAGAACTGGTGAGAGGTCAGTGTGGTATGGTACATAAAGGAGACTTGCCTTTTCAGTTTCTTCTGAAGTTTTCTTATATAGAACCGGTGATCTATAGGTTTAAACAGTTAAAGGAGAAGGAGAAAAAGCAGTTAAACAAGGTACTGCCTCAAAAAGAGGCTCAACCTCTGTCTTCTGTTTCTGATTCTGATGGTGGTTCAGATGAAGAGAGTGATAACAAGGTACAGTATTCATCTTGGATAGTGTGTGTTGGAATACTATGTCATTTGGCTGTCATCCGAGCTCCCGATATATCATGAGTTCAGTTTTTTGTTTTTAGTTAGAGAACGAAGAAAATGAGAAATCTTACATTTGCATCAGTAGACAAAAAGAAAACCCTCCATTGAATCACAGTTGTCATTATTTGAACAAGTGATTCCAACTTCCTTTTTATATTATTAATTAGTTAATAATATCTGCCTACGTTTAAGATATCAGCTCCATCCAACACTGCACATTTATTGCACCTCACTTTTAAGACCTTGTTGCCAGGATACTGTAAGTTATGTTAAGATGAAGATAAATTGGTGAATTTAATCGAACTAGAGATTCGTTTTGTTGAAAAACAATCTACAGGATTAGATAGAAAATGTGGCTGGCTCTCCAAGGGCTCAAATATATTTCCCGTCACTCAGATTGAAGGGGTATATGTCACTGTCTGTCACATAGCCTTGCTGTGCTACTGACAAAAGAGTCAAGGTCTAAATTTTTTTTCTCAACTGAGTCATTAGCTGCATGACAATTCGTGTTTCATTATCATCTTGGGACGTGGGGCCTTATTTTTTGCGGTCTAAATTTTAGCTTCGTATTAATGCTTTGACCGTTTCCGCTCGTAGACTGAAGTTTGGAGTTTTCATCTGCATTCTTTTTATCAAGAAGTCTAGAACACTAAGTCAACTTTTTATAGGGCGACGAAGTTGCAGAAGAAGCATATGCTTCTACGGTAAACAAGGAGGTTCCAAATTTGAGAGAAAGAAGAAGCAAGCGCTCAAAGCGGAAGCGGGCTGTATAAAGAGACTCCATGCGGTTGTTTGTAGTTTGCAAGGAGACTGGCATATCACAATAGATTGTATCTTAGCCTCTTGCGCCATTTTTGGATTGGCTTATTCAAATTGAATATGTAATTTAATCCTGCAAATATCCATTCTCGAAAAGTAATATTATACGTAGTAAATGAAGAAATTTGCCTTCGTGGGCAAATTACCTGTTTTTCAATGATGAATTCTCTGCTAGTAACAGAGATACATAACAATTTTATGAACCTACAGTGTATAAGAAACGCGGACAACTTCTGATGCAAAAGAAGTAATGGCTGCGCACATTGGGGGATAATGTCTCGGGGACAGAATGTCGGGCTGATTGCATGATGTTGTGACTTAGTTAAAGAAAAGGATGGCCCGAGTAAGGTGAGAATGTTTAAGAAGTCGAATCAATGCGAAAACACTTGGCGAGCTGATAGGAAGTAGAAAAAGAAATAGGAATGATATTTAATTAGACTACTAAATGCAATGAGAACTTAATGATGGCTAATATAACAACTTATAAGGTACAAATATTCAATTATTAAACCCCATTTTGTACAACTACAATGTTCCTGGAAACCGGGATCTCCCAAGAGGTCATGACTCCTAAGAAACCATGACTGATGCCGAATAGCTGTGTCCATCCATCCCACCGTCACTTTATGTTTTAGATGGTGGTCGGTGATTCCCTACGGGGTTCGGCCCTGATGGGCTTTTTTGAGTCCTTTTATCTTCATCCTGTGATTTCCAATCAATGACATGCATCAGATTTATGTCACATAAATACTTTAATAAGTGGCATAAATGGGTGATGATAAAGCAATGATGTCATGTAATTCATGCAGTAGATCTCATTTAGTGATATAAAGTTTTATTATTGTTGACATAAATGTGTGATTCTTTGAGAGCTTCATATGCATACTGAGAATATGGGGGAAAATATAGAAGAGATCGATCTCGGCTAGCATATTCCAACGCAAGAGTATCATTCTAGAACATCATTTCTTAGAACTTTTGATATAACTACAAAAAATTTGAAAAATAATCGAATGGTTGAGAAGCAAACCTCTTCAGTGACAAACTCTTTTCGCTATCAAAATATTGAGAGATATTTGCTTGAGGAGAAAATCGTGAAATCTATCTAATGATATTAACGTGTCAACCTCTTGACAAAGAAAACTTTCCACATAATTATATTTTTATATATCTTGGAAACTTGGACGAAATAAAAAAACACGTCATGAAGATGGGAAAACCCTGTCTTGGTACTAACCCATGAAGGCATGTCATGCCCAGAATGTGGCATCGAGCTGGGTCGTAAGGTTCGGAGCTTGACATGAGCTGGTGGGAAGGAATAAAGAAATGAGAAAGTTAGTAACAGAAACAATGCTAGCAAAGGCGTCAGTGTTTCTCTGCATAAGGAAAAAATAATTAGCGGCTATAGACACAAGAAAGAGTCAAACACCTGGCGGAATGGCCTGAACACTAGCAGTGAGATGATTGATTGGGGAAGCTGCGAGTAGGAGGCTCAGTAGGAGAAGACGAAAGAAGATTTGTCTCCTCATTTTTCGCATTGATTGTAGTGGAGAGTAGCAGAGTTATGTTGTTAAGAATGAGAAATGGAGCAGTTTTTATGTGCTTCGTCACTTGGAATATAATGATAACCAAACTTGAATTTTGATGGAGAATGTTTGTTAAAAGATGCCCGGGAATCCTATGCCAAATGTTTGCATTCTGATTTGATCATTGATAAGATCGAGAATCTGGATGTATCCCCATTGTGGATTGACTTCTTACCCGCTATCATTTCTCAGTTATCATTGCTTCCATGATAAGCAAAAAAAAAAAAAAAAAACAGAGAGAGAGAGAGAGAGTTTCCCAAGTACCTTGCCATTATTTTTCTTGAGTGCTTGGCCTTGCTGTCCTCACACCCTCCCAATTCCTTATTCTTTAAATTAATTTTCCAAATCAAGTTTTAAGCACACTTTAATCCAGTGATTAGCGCCATGCATGCCACAAATTCGAGAGTAATTACTCAAGGGGGAAAATCTTTGATCATATTCTACTCATTTTTAAACTTGAGAAGCGTGTATAAGAGTATTGTAATGGTCTCTCCGTCAGAATATTTCACCAGAGATGTCTCTAAATAGCTAGACATTTGGGGTTGGAGTGCAAGCATACCATCCTTGTTCATCGCAGTGTGGCGTGAAGTAAAATTGTCTTGGAGTCGAAGGCGCAACACACTAGTTTTGCTGTTTGTACGGTTTTTTAAATTAATTTAAAATGAGCTGACAAGAGTGCTATTGCTATAGTGTAGTAGACAAGATGGACTTTTACGAGAGACATGAGGAAGATCTTTAGTTGTAAAGTCAAGTGTTATCATGATTGCCTCAAGTTAGAATTGAATCAAGACAATCACCGAAACTGAATAGTATAAACACGAGTCCCCAAAATGTTCCGCGGCAGAGAAGAGAACGAAGAAATTGCAAGGCCCCATGAAAAAAGGACCATCATGATCAGCTTAATTACCTGATTTGCTTCATAATCTAGACTTTATCCCCCATAAACCAATCATGGCTTTCGAAGTTCAGCAGGAGGAGAGGTGGGAGAAAAATTATGACTTGTTTTGACTTCTCTTTTGTTTCTCTTTCAGGGAATGATGCATGATGATTGATGGCTCAGGGAGTACTTGGGTTTTAATGGGCTGGACCGGGTTAAATTAAAAAACCATGAATGCAGGCCCAAAAACAATTGCCGTCCGGGCTTATCTGTAATTTAGTGGGCTTTAGCTTACAAATCTTAATATCGCCGCAAGAATATTTGCATGAATGGATTCTGAGACAGTGTTTGGTTTAACAAAGGGAGAGGAGGTTTGGTGATCACTTCTTGGGTTGAGACTTGAGAAGGTGGATAAAATATTTTATTAATAATAAAAGAGGCAAGAGCATTTTTAAAAATGGGTGGTAAATATTTTGCAAAATTTTATAAAGAAAACAGTCACATTTTCTGCGAATCGGTTGGAGGACGGAACTTCTGCGGTTTCTGGGTTGTGCAGCAGGGGAAAGGAAAAGTGATAGGCCGCCTAATACCTCGTGAACCGAGCTTCTTATCCACTTGCCACACGTTTTCTCCACACCTTCAACTAATATATATTTCTTTTATTAAAATATTTTTTAAAGAATTATATAATAAAAATATAAGATATTTTTAATTTTTTGATATATAATTTTTATCTTTTTTTTTAAGTATCTTTATTAATAATAATTTCATATTTATTATAAGATATTTAATAAAATAAATATAAAAAAATATAATTAATTTAAAAATAAGTAATTATTTTATTAAGAATAAAATTTAATTAAAAATATTTTATATTTTTAATGAAAGGAGTACATAAATGATATAATATAGTACAATTATATATTATTTTCTTTCCACAAGAACGTCTAGGGTGATCTTTTGTACTAGTATATATTAAATCAACATGAATAAATATACCTTGCGAGTGTCTTAAAAGGATGCCAATGCACGAACTTTGATATATAATAAGTAATAGTTATTAATTTATCAACAGTCACCGATCACTGATGGCGCCACGTCAAGAGTGACCACCAACTTTTTTAGTTCGCATTTCAATATGCCTAATTATCGCAGTGCATATAGCATTTTAAATTCAAATATTTAAATCTCAACGTCTTATTAGTTTTCCATTCCTCTATTTAATTCTAAATATATACTTTTTTTATTAAAAATATAAAATATTTTTTAAAAAATAAATATTAAAAAATATAAAATATTTTTTAATTTTTTAATATGTAATTATTATTTTTTTTATCAAAAGTGTTTCTATTAATAAATAATTTACTATTATTTGTTACATTTATCATGTCTTATACTCCTGCGTTAAAAAATGTAAGGCATTTTTAATCTTTTAAGATGTAATTATTATTTTTTTTCAAAAGTACCCCTATTAATGATGACTTTATATTTATTGTAGTATTTAATAGGATAAAAAAAAAAATAAGGTTAATTAAAAAGTAGGTAACTACTTTATAAAGTGAGATTCGATTTTATATTTTTGAACAAAAAAAGTATAATAAAAGTTTTGTAATCCTAAAACATTTAAAAAATTTACTCTCTCTCAAATTAAAAATAATTTTGTAAAAATTCATGATCTTAAAATATAAAATAATTAAGAAAAATAAAATTCTATCAATTATATTTTTTAATATTATTTTTTAAATAAAAAAAAATTAAAATAATATTGTAACTTAAGTGTGTAGATATTTTTAAAAGAGTATAATCTATAATATAATTGCGTGGAAGCCTGGACATGCTGGAGGGAGTCCCGGGTTGCATTTCCCGCCGCCCAAACAGCAATGATTCAAAAAGGGCCCACTGTTTGCAGTCTCCCAGTTGTTCCGCAGGTTTCTGACCACTTTTCTCAAGCGCCTTTCCTAAAAGACGAATCCCTTCTCATAAATCGTAAATCCACCCCTCTTTCGCTTCACGTACTGTTGCTTTATTAAGAGATGAGAATATCTTTTTATTTAAAAATAGAATATTTTTTAAAAAATTAAATAGTTTTAATTTTTTAAAATAGAATCATTATTTTTTTAAAAAAATATTTATAATAATTTTATATTTTAATAATAAAATATTAATAAAAATATAAATAAAAAATAAAATTAACTTTAAAATAAATAATTGCTTTATTAAAGAGTAAAATTTTATTAAAATATAAAAAATTAACTAATCTTTCAATAATTTGATACAAAATATTAATTTAATCTTTTATTTATAAAATATTTTTAATCCTTTAATTTTAATATTTTTATTTTTTAAATAATTATTTTCATGTTAATTATTATTATTTTTTAAAAAATTAAATTTAATATATTAATATTTAAGAATATTTTTTTAATGTTTAAAACTTTAATATAAAATTTATTAAAATAAAAGTCACTGTATTAAAATTAAAAGATTAAAAAAATATTTTATACAATTAAAATATTAAAAAAAATTGTAGAAAGTGAGAAGATTAAATATAATTTTTAATTTAGAGTAAAAATTGAAAGAGCAAGGGTAATTTCGTCATATGGAATCTCGCCCTGCGAAGAGCCAAAAACCGGTCTTTTCTTGTCTATAAAACGCAACCAAACCCTCCTCTCCGATCATCCACACCCCCCCCCCCAAAAAATGGCTTCGTCTTCCTCACTACTTTCTCTCATACTATCCGTCGCATCCTTCTTCGTCCGCTAGTCTCGCCGACGCCACCATCTTAACCCTCGTCAACAACTGTAAGTTCACCGTCTGGCCCGCCGCCATCCAGCCCAACGCCGGCCACCCCGTTCTCGCTGGCGGTGGTTTCGTTCCCCACTCCTCACTCATATCTCCATCCCCGTACCAGACCGACACTGGTCCGGTCGGGTATGGGCTCGAACGGGTTGCGGCTACTCCGGCAACCAGTTCAACTGCGCCACCGGCGACTGCGGAGGTCACCTTCAGTGCAATGGTGCCGGCGGCGCACCTCCGGCGCTCTGGCTCAGTTTCAGCATACACCACGGTGCAACACGACTACTCCTCTTACGGTGTCAGCCTCGTGGACGGCTTCAACGTCCCGATGACGGTGACCCCACACGAGGGTAAGGCGTGTGTCCAGTGGTGGGGTGTCGCGTGGATCTGCTTTCGACGTGTCCTCCCGGGTTGCAGCACCGTGTGCCGCAGGGTCATGGTCCGGTGATGGCGTGTAAGAGCGGGTGCGAGGCTTTCAGGACGGACGAACTATGCTGCAGGAACCACTACAACAGCCCACAGATGTGTAAACCGTCAATATATTCAGATTTCTTCAAGCACGCGTGCCCTGCCACCTTCACTTACGCTCATGACAACCCTTCGCTGATGCACGAGTGTTCTTCCCCGAGGGAGCTTAAGGTGATTTTCTGCCATTAGTAGGTAGGATGAGGATGACGGGTCACTCAGGTGACCTGATTATCTGGGATCCTCTGAATAAGAATGGAAAATGTGAACTCAAGAACAATGTAAGCGGGTTAGTGGTCCTTCAGTGTTAATTAATGGTCAAATCAATGTAGCGGTTGTCTTTCAGCTTTTGCCTTCACGGTCTTGCGGTCCTGTTTACTGCTTGTCTTGTGCCGGTTTGACACTTCAAACCAATAATGCTACCAGCTATGTGTGTGTATGTAGCCGAGAAATTTTGCATTTGCAGATGTATTTTTAATAACTTACTTTATTTTTTATAATTGATGTTACATGTATATTTAATTAAAATTAGGGATCGTGAATAAAATAAATTCTGTGAAAGTATTGTCCCGAGTCCCGACTGAAGGATAAAACTAAAGAGATATTGGGTAATGGGTAGGGGTGTTCAATCTGGACCCGTCCCGATTGGCCCGGTATCGTCCCGATCATATCGGGACGGGTCTTGTCCCGACCCGAAATAATCGGGACGGGACTTTACGGGACAGGACAGGAAAGGGGTTCGGGACGGGACGGGACACGGGATTACCATCGGGAAGTCCCGTCCCGTCCCGAATATTATATATATTATTTTTTATTTTAATATATTAATTATATTAATATAATTTATATTTATATTAATTATATCAATTATAATTTTAATACTTACAATTCTTATTTAAAACTAAAGTATTTTTATATTGATAATTTTAATGGTATGGAGTAAACATGACGATATCTTTTTTATAATATATTAATTATATTAATATAATTTATTCTTATATCTATCTATTTAATAACTTTTATTTATAACATACTTCTTGCTTATTTTAGAAAAGTAATTAGCTTAGTATATCTTCACTAAAGTAGAAGAACAATTATTTAATGTTGTATTTGACTTGCCTGTTGTTGTTAATTTTATAACATAAAGATCACTTGTATTTTTTATTATAATATGTAGTTGTGATTAAAATAATTCAATAATTGATTTTAAATTATTGTTATTTATGTACTTGTGTTATTTTGATTTTAAACTTAATAAATTATATAATTTAAAATTTTAATGAAAATTATTATCCAGATTTTTTTCGATATTATTTCATTTATCGGGACGGCGGGACGTCCCGATCTTGTCCCGATCCCGTCCCGACTCTTAACGGGACGGGACGACTTTCGGGACGGGACGGGACACGGGACCAAAATTCAGTCCCGATCTTTTTTTCGGGACGGGACACGGGACGGGGGTGTCCCGGTCCCGTCCCGTCCCGTGAACACCCCTGGTAATGGGTAGGACTAGGCTTAGACTTTTTTTTTTTTTCTTTTTATCCTTGAAAAAAGTTAGGGAAAACACATCTATATGTTCTTTCATTTTACTTTTAATCTTTATAATTTTTTTTTATATTCTCAGTTATATTTTTAAAAAAATGAGGTGATGCATGTTGTTTAAATTTTATAATTTTAATTTTTTAATATTTTTAAGTCCATATAAAGATTAAAAGTGAAATTTAATGAAGCAATGAAGATTAAAGATTAGTTTTTAAGAAGAGATAAAAATTTTATGATAAAATTAAGGAAGGACCATGAAAAAAAGGCATTTTACTTGTTTGTAAAAAAATTTGAAATTTCAGTGTATGATTAAATTGAAATAGAAAAGATCAAAATGTATTTTTATAAAATTAACAAATATTTGTTAAATAATCAATTAATTAATTTCGTGACAAATAATTTTAAAAATATTACATGTTAATTATATAATTTATTAATTTATTAATATAATTTTTTAATTACTTAACTTGTGAATCTCTCACAAAATTTATTCACCCAATGTGACAGAAAAATATCATCATTAATTATTAATTTTTTTATTTTATTTGTTAATTTATTAGTTGTAATTTATTTAATTTTACTTGTCAATAATTATACTAATATTAATTATTAATATTATTTTATCTGTTAATTTATTAATATTTTTTATAAATTATATATTTTTAATTATTTTGTCTTAAAAATAAAATTATTGGTTATTAATTTTTTAATTTTATTTATTAATTTATTAATATTAATTGTTAATTATTTTTTCTTTTGCAAAAGAGCATTTTAATCTTTTAATCACGTATTTTATTTTAATTTAATTCAGAAAAATCTTGTAGTCATAAATTAATTAATTAATGTCAGAAAGAAATATGACTCCCAAAACCTCAAATGATGTAGTCAGGAAAATCATCATAAAATGGGTGGAAGAAAGAAAGAAGAGGGTTAAAAAAAAAAAAAAAAACCAAGGCGGGATTATTTGGAGGCGTATCCTCAGCCGCAGCATAGACGGAGCGTGGATGATAATTGATGGGTTGTCAGGACCTCGGAGGGTTTTTGCTTTTTTTCAAACAACGAATTCATTATTATAATAATAAATAAATATTATAAAATTATTATTTTAATATTTAATCAAAAAATATTAAGATGTTAATATTGAATCTGAATAATTCAAATGAAATTTTTAGTTTGAACAGTTTAAAACTATACTAAAAAAATAAAAAAAATTTAAAGAGTTTAAAATGGGGGTAAAATTTAAAACATGAGTTAATTTCTTATACTATAATAAATTAATATTTGAATTCATTTTAAGAAAAATACTTATATTTAATAGTCGATCATACCTTAAATAATATTACCTCTTATAAATAGACAATGGTGCAAAATCAATAAAATAAAAAAATATTTTATAAAACATTTTTTGTTACTGTTTTTATTTTTTTCAATATAGTTGTAAATTGTTTAAAGCAAAATTTATATATGAACTTTTTAAGTTAAATTCTAATGAGTTAAACTATTCGAGTTCAATTTTAACATAATATTTATTTGTTTATTAAATTTTAAGATAATAATTTTATAATATTTATTTATTATTATAATAATAAATTTGTGGTTTAAAAAAACAAGAGAAAATAATTAACACTGCCCAATAGCAGTGTTTTGATGTTAAGCACAACGATGCTCATCTTAAGATGAGCACTGAAACTAAGTCCGATTTAGGCATGCCATGGTTTGCCAGGTAAGGAAGGAACTTTTGAAACAAAAGCTGAGAAAAAATTAACTTACAAAATATACTTGTAATAAAAAAATTATTACTCCTCCTGTTTAAAAATATAAGATAATTTTAATTAAAATTTACCTCTCAATAAAATAGTTACTTGTCTTTAAATTAATCCTATAATTTTATATTTACTCTTATTTAATAAAATAATTTATCTTAAAATAAATATAAAGTGATTTATTCAATAGTGATACTTTTGAAAAAAAAGATAATGATTACATTTTAAAAGATTAAAAATATTTTATATTTTTTAACTCCCAACCCTTCAAAAAATATCTTACATTTTTTTTAAAAAAATATAAATTATAAATTTGGTGAAGTTAATATCACCTTTCAAGAGGAAGTTTGATTACCAAATACCATTTAAAAATTGTTTTCGAGATTTCGACTCTTTGATTTTTTTTAATTTAGATTATTTTAATTACTAATTATTTTTGCTGTTAATTTTTGCTCGTTAATATTAATAATATTTTGTAGATACTCTAAATGTCTGGACTCGCGACGTGAATATTTTAAAATGAAATTAACTTATCTTATCCAAACAACAGCCAAGTCACCTTAGCTGGCTCCTATCTTGAGAATTCAAATCCCTGATTCAGACTACATGCGTTTCTGTGCGTGTCACTTTGTTGCCTTCACTTTTTTATTCTCCTAATACAAACGGCAAGTAAACCGCTTGAAAAAATAAATAATCAAGAGCCAATTATTAGCCACAGCTGCATGTTACAATAATATTAGTTTTTTAAAAAAATTAGCTCAATGAGATATATAGCAATGGTTTATATAACTAGAACACTTTTAAAATTTTTTTAATATGAAATGTAATAACTTTTTCAGTCAATCTGTGATAGTCCTTTTATAAATGACCCATCAAAGGATTCAATGACTGAGCAAAAGTTAAGTTTAACTTTGATATTAATTTATTATCAGGTCATTACTCTTTCTTCCAAAAAAACTAGTTTGCAACACACCCGCTTGTATAATTAAGATTCTCTTGAAATCCTTGTATGGGACATAACATGCAGGATCACTAATAGCTTCGTCGGCCATTGGCAAATGTTGGCATCCAGATGGCACTTCTAGCAGAACCATCGTGTCTTTGCTGGCAAAGTAAGCAATTCGAGCCTTGTAATCTGCACATTACATACCTTCGCTGGGACAAAAATGTATTCCCAGATCCCAATCGTCATAAATCAAATTTCGAGTATCATTGACAAGATATATAGTAGTTGCCTGTGTACTGCCACAATCCCAAATCAGTATATTAATAGCCTCAAGGGAGTCTGAATGAATACATACTAATGTTCTTGAAGCTGTGTTGCTTACAAATCTCGAACCTAGTCTTGATCCACCCAAACTTCTGCAACACTTGTTCGCATCGGATTAAGCCAACAGTTAAAAAAGTTCTACTATAGGATAGGAACTTTTATTTTATTGATGACAAATGATGATGAAGTTGGCAGAGTATAATTATGTTGTAGGTTGCTAGAAATAAAAAATTTCTCAAGCTTTAAGGTAACGAACAAGGAAAGTAAATTATAGACAGTAATGATAAGAATTAGACTAGTTGCTTTATCTGGCATTCAACCCTGGAATGATATTGGATATTGAAGAAATAAAAAATAAGGAACGAGATGCTCTGAACACCACTGTGCCAAGTATACGGATTGTTTTATTACCTTGCATTTTCATTTCACAAGTACAAAGAAAGTCAGAAACCCACCCAATATGAATGACTACTTCTCCGAATGGTTCAACAGCCCAGATAACTATTCCAAGCTCAATCCAATTAAGTTTAACACAATTTACAGGTCCCATATTTACAGAGTTTCAAGTGTCCCATAGAAGGGGAACTTTTGCAAAATGAGTCCCTAGCTACCAAGATCTGTTGTAAATCTCATTACTGGTAAGAGAGCCTCTAAGAAGAGTGGAGAGAATAAACACTTTTAATTTTATTCATCTAATAAAATATATTATGCGAAATCTAGTTACTTCTTGTAGGTATAACGGAGCTGAGAGAACTCTTATAGTGTAATATTTGGAAATGAATATTTTGGAGAAGATGAAAATTTTCTTTTAATAGGTAGCACATGATAGAGTTCATGCAATGGCACTAACAGTTCAAGGCCTTGTGTAACACCCTAAAATTCTTTTAAAATAAATAATTCAACCATAATAAAAAAAATTTTATTA